GATTGGTTATTGAGAAACTACGTGTTTCCACTATAGTTCCAGCTCTGCGTTATCAACAGAGTATTTTGTGTTAGAGCAATCGTGGCATCGTGAAAAATTATTTAGTGTTTTTATTATCTTTTTTAAAGATTTTAAAATTAAATTCTTAAAGCTAAGGCCCTCACCAGCTGCCGGCGTGCCTCGATGAGCTATCCTTCTCGTACTTATGGCTGCACATTGTACTTTTAAGTCGTATTCATTTGTAAACTTTATTTAAGCCTGTAAATTTTTTGAAACCGCTAAATTTGTCTGGCTATTTGCAGGTATTATTAAAATTACTCAATAAATACGTGATTAAAATTTGAGATTGCCAAAAGTATGTTTTTTGAGAATTTTAATAAAGTATTTTTGGAGAGATCTGGTAACACTTTATAACCGACGAAAACTTCGGGGATTATTTTTCTTGATTTATTTGAAAACTTAATTAAAAGATGAAAAACAAATCAAGTTGCGAAAAAAAATTTTTGATAGTTTTTTTTTTGCAAATGACATATACTGCGCAGTAACGAAATAACCGCAAACGCTCTGCCAGGCTCGCAGGACTGGATTCGCCAATTGAAGAAATTATATTTTTTCTTAATTTCAACTTCCCAAAATTCGTCGCCAGCTCTTTGACGATATGTTATTAAAATGTTTAACACCACAAATTATTCATTTGTACTATCATTTTCTGTCCCTTTGCATTTTGTGAGATAAGTTTGCAGAAATAACTAGTAACTTATGAATTATAAAGGTGTATTAATTTTTGAGCTTTTCATATTGCTATTTTTTACGTTGCAATAATAATAGAAAAAGTAATATCTCTATTCACAGAACAGATAAAAGGAAATGTTCTTTTCGATGTTCGCAAAAGTGAAGTGCCAATTTTAAAAAGAATCGTGATATTTCTGAGCATGAATTTCTAAAAGAGGAGCAAAGTTGAAAAGTTCACAAATTAATAAAACAATGACCATTTCGTAAGTTTTCTTTTATCTCTTTGCTGCATTAAATACTAAATTTCTTATTTTCGTCATTTGGTAATTACACCTACGTAGCATAGTAAAATAAAGAAGTGATATAAAAATAAATTAAACATATATTTTCCATTATTTATTTAAATTATAAAAATAAATATATATCACCACGCTTGAATATAATACCTGCGTAAACACTAAGGTGAAACAATGCTGCTGTGCTCCGTATGATCAGTGAAGAGACTTTGAGACTTTTTTATACTGGTAGCGATGTGTTCGAACCTTAAAGGGCAACGTATTTATGTTCGTTGTTATTTTTAATCGAAAATAGATGTTTATATCTTTGGACAACAGTATCAACTTACCGTCAGGTAGAGTTTCTCAGGTAGAGTGTGCTCGTTTGTAAACTTTAATTTAATTAAAATGTATGTGACGTAATGTATTGGATATGAGTAAATTAGGCTGATGGAGTAATTCTTTTCATGCGTGTACTTGTGTTACTACATTTTCTTTTTCAATTGACGACATCTAGCAACATACAGAAGCTGCCAACCCGACCAATATCAGCAACAAAATTTTGTCATAATTTACATGGAAATACATATTTAATTACGCTAATTTGAGATAAAATATGAAATAAATTCATTGAAATTATAAACGTTCAAAATCGAATCAACTGAACATCCAATTGATCGTCAATTTGACCGTTGTACAGGTATCCTTTTGTAAGCACTTTCAAATAAGCCCAGAGAGAACACCATTAAACAACGTTCTGCCTGTTATTGGTTCAATCGATTTCGTGTGCAGAATTTCGATTGTACACAAATCAAGCCCTGAGATGTATTGCAGGCTCCAGTAGTAAAATGTCTGCTTCAAAGTACTAGATCGAGTTTTCATTCCTTAAATAACCTGCTTACTTCTGGAATTTAGATGAACATCCTTTGAAAATAAATATCTTTATTTTTACCGTAGTATTCTTGGTAAAAGAAACATTTCATTTGTTTACTTCACATTATTTCAATGAATTTATTTTAACTAAAAGGAGATATGTTTAACAAGAATTTTAACGTCGTATATGGTAAACGTGATATATCGTAGCAAATAGTAATAATATTCCTTATTATTATTCTTCGGGTTATCTATAAAGTTTTCTCATCTGGTTGGGCTGTTTAAATATATAATTGTAAACGAAAGATATAAACATACATATATATCAATAAAATATAATAAATACATAAAAAATACATAAATATATAAAAACCCAACCAGATGGAAGCCCTCGGCAGGGGATACCAAACGGCCGAGGGTTAGGTTAGGTTAGGGAAAGAACCCCCCCGAACGGGTTCCCGCCTTGTCGTGGTGGGGGGGCTTAGTAGCCGTGGCTTGGTCAACCGCGGTGAACGAAGAGGAACCCCTTGGCTGGCCCGACGTGTAGGGCCGGCCCGAGGTGGCCACTCCGACCGGGCTTGACGAGCCCGCTTCGGATGTGTGTTGGTGGGCTGCGGATAGAGGTGTGTCCGCTCCCTCTACCGCTGCAGCCGAGGTGGAGACGCGGAGGAAGAGGAGTGCTGGTATGGCGATGCGCCACTCGCCCTATCCTCCGCGACTCAGACGGGGCCGCACCGTTAAATGATGCGGTGGTGGTGGGGCTGCGGGGGGAGAGGAGTGTCGGTATTGCGAGGCGCCGCTCTCCCTACCCTCCGCAGCCGAATCTTGGTTGGCGGCGGAGCCATAGATCAGATCCGCCGCTGGGGTCAGGAAGGCTGGTGCTTCTGAGTGCTAGTTTTTCCTGGCCCCATGGCCTTCGCGCATCGGACACGGGGGCGTCCGTTGCGCATATGAAATTGGAGGCCGAGGAGGAGGGCGCGCCATGTGTTCTGGTGCGCCTTACCGGAGAAGGAGATGGGGGAGGAGTGGTCCTCTCCCGAGGAGGGGCCGCCATGGGGTGGCCAGCGCAGGTGGGGCCGCGGAAGTGTGCGAAAGCGTTCCCGTGGCCCTGCCAATATGCGACGAGGGTGGAACACCACGGGGTTTTAGTCGGTGCGAGTCCGACATAACCCGTCCTTGCCCCCGCGAGGCGGGTATGCTTAGGCATTTCCCCATGTAAAAAAAAAAGGTTAGGGAAAGAAACCGGCGGACGATGCTGGCGGTATCGAGAAGCACCTACTTCTGCATTTGAGCTTGGAGCGGTCTGTCACGGAGTCCCAGTCACCTCAGTTGACCGAAAGGCTGACTGGGATTAACCCGTTCGCAGAAACGACCACAGGAATAATTTCGGCTGGCAGACCACCCCACATGTCGGTCACCTCGTGAGCCAGGTCCAGATATTTTGTCAGCTTATCTGTTTCGACTTTCACGAGGTTCTCGTCATAAGGAATGGTCTTCTTCTTCTCATTCATGTGCTTCATTACTGAATGTCGTGCTTGTCCTGAAATGCTTTCACCGATGTGTCGACTAGCTTCCTCCATACCACTCTGTCCTCGGCTTGTCTCAGGGCATTCGGAATATTAAGTCCCGTTATATTTTGAATCTGGTCGGACCAACGGGTAGGTAATCGCCCACGTGATCTTTTTCCTTCGATCTTCCCTACTACAGCCAATTTATCCAGATTGTCTGGTTGTTTCCGGGCAATATGACCAAAATAAGTTAGGACTCGTTGGTAGCATATAGCGGATAGTCTGGTAGTAATCTTTAGTTGGTTGAGAATAGACTTGTTGGTTCTTTTTGCTGTCCAAGGTATACCCAACATGCTTCTATAACACCACATTTCGAAAGTCTCGATCTTCTTTCGGTCAGCTGCTCGGAATGACCATGATTCAGCACCGTACAGAAATATTGAGAATACCAAAGCTCGTACGAGTCTGGTCTTGGTGGTATTCGACACTTTCCTGTTTTTCCATATTCTGGTTAACTTACTCATAGCTGCTTTGGCTATCTGCATACGTCTCCGAATTTCTTTGTCACAGCCTCTCTGATTGCTTATAAGTGATCCCAGGTACACAAATTTATTTACGAACTCCAGGTCTGCGAGTTCTCCGGTTCGTGCAAAAGTTCCAGCTCGAACTACTACCATGACTTTATTTTTCGTTCTATTAATGGAGAGACCTACCATATCACTTGCGCGCTCGACTCTTTTAAGCAGATCAGCCATTTCTTGTTCTGAGGAAGCCAATAGCGTAGTGTCATCGGCGTATCGAAGGTTACTGATTTTGTTGCCTCCAACGGAAATGCCGCAATGCCACTCTTCTGGCGCTGTCCTAATGATATACTAGCTGTAGATGTTAAAAAGAAGAGGGGATATGTTGCATCCCTGTCTTACTCCTTTATGTGGTTTGAAAGGAGCTGTTACCATGTCATTCACTCTTACCATTGACTTCCCATTCCCGTATAGGGTTGCGATCAGTGCTATTAAATGGCAGGAAACACCCATTTCCGTGAGGATTTTCCATAGACAATCCCACCTTACGCAGTCAAACGCCTTGGAGTAGTCAACAAAACACATCATTATCGGAACAATAAACTCCCGGCTCTTCTCTAGGAGTTGTCTAATGTTAACAATTTGCTCCCGTGTCCCGCGGCCCTTGTCGAAGCCAGCCTGTTCATTAGGTATTTGCCGCTGTAGGTAAGGTTGTAAGCGTCCCTTAATAATGTGGAGTATGATCTTACTACCATGTGATATGAGGGCCACTGTTCGTTTCTTGTGCAGTGGTATTAGAAGAGACTCCGTCCAGTCCTTAAGCCATTATCCCGAGCTCCAGATCTGATAACACAGGTCCTTCAAGATTTTGATCCTTTTATCTCCAAGGCTTTTCGATTTTTCAGCGAATATACTGTCTTTTCCGGCTGATTTATTTGTTTTAATATTTCTAAGAGCTTCCCTGAATTCAGATTCTAGTATTTCAGGCTCTAGGATTTCACTCAGGCTCAATGGCTCAGAAGATCTCCTGTCGTTCTTGTACAGGCTTTGACAATATAACCGCCATCTTTCTGTGATCTGGTCAATCTCTGTCAGTAATGTACCCTTGCCATCTTGGATCGCCCAGCTTTTGGGTATAAGCTCTCTTGTGATGCTTTCAATCGTAGAAACAGATCTTTGGTGTGCATCGTCTTAGCATGGTCCTCAACATCTTCACATATCAAGTTCAGATATTGATTATAGTCTCTACGGCATAAGCGTTTAACTTTCGCTGACATGGTGTTATATAGGTTCTTTCTTTCATTAATCACCTTCCACGTTTCTTCAGATATCCACGCCTTTCTTGGACTACAATAGTTTTGCTGTTGGGTTTCTTTTCGTGTATCGAGAATAATGTTCTTTATTGTAGTCCACTTTGTATCTATATCGATGCTGTTATTTAACTTTACGTATGTGACTTTTTTGCTAAAGACTTCTTTGAAGGTACTAAGTGTTTCTGGAGAAGGTCGACCATGATGTATGACTGAGGATCTCAAGCATTTCTTGAGCTTTACACTCGTGACTGCTACCAATAATTTGTGATCGCTTCCGCAGTCAGCTCCGGGGTACGTCTTTGTATTAATTATACTGGACCTCCATCGTTTTGCAATAGCAATATAATCAATTTGGTTTCTGGCACGATCACCTGGCATAACCCAAGTATATAGCCGTCGTGGGTGGTTCTGGAAACATGTATTCATGATGGTTAGAGAGTTTTCCGCGCAGAATTGCAACCACATCTCACCTCTATTGTTTCTCTCTCCGAGACCATATTTCCCAACGACTTCTCTTAGATGATCCTCATGTCTTGTCGATCCAACTTTTGCATTAAGATCTCCCATCAAAAGTGTGACCTCCCTTCTGGGCAGGCTCCTCAGATTGTCTTCCAACAATCTGTAGAAGTCCTGGATCTCTACTTCTGTTGAACCTGCTGTTGGGGCATACACAACCACCAGATTCAGATGGCATGGTTTTGTGTTAACTTTCATGGTTATTATCCGATCACTCACCGAGTGGTATCAAATCACAGATTTATTGATGTAAGGTGATACACAAATACCAACTCCATTCCTACTTTCATTTTCCACTCCTAAAAAATATAGAGTGTAGCCTGATGGAATAGTGTAAAAGCCTGACCCTTTCTTGTGTGTTCTTTACCTATAATATCCACTTTCCCTGGTTCCAGTATACCCCTGACATTCCATGTCCCAATCCTAATTTTCTTGCGAAGCTGAGGTTGTTTGGCTTTGGTTAGTGTGAATTGAGACGATGTATTGATGTCACCAGTAGGATGCTTTACACAATAAGCCTGATGAGTCACTTCAGTGGAAACAGTAGCATACTTCACACCATGCGACCTGGAATCAACATGGCGCCGGGTGGTAGCCGGATCACATGCCATCGTTCTCTCAGTATGACACAGGAATGGTAATGTCGACCAAAAATATCCTTAACTGTGCCCGGTACATCAGCACAATATCAGGCTTATTCGCAAGAATAGTCCTGTCTGTGATGAGGGCCCGGTCCCAGTAGAGCCTGGCGCGGTCATTTTCGAGCACGGCTTCCAGCAAGTACTTATAATATGGCAGTTTCCGATCCACGAGATTGTATTTCAGAGTGAGTTCCTGGTGTATAATCTTGGCTACTAGGTTGCGTCTGTGCAAATACTCAGAGTTAGAAAGCACCGAACAACCGGAGATGACATGCCTAAGTGACTCACCGGGATGGCGACAAGCTCGAGAGATGTTGACGGCGCCATCCTTTAGAATGTATTTCCGATAATTTTTGGTCTTAATAACCTGATCCTGAATTGCACAGACAAAACCCTCAGTTTCCCCAAAGAGGTAACCGAAAAGTAGCCAGTGGAGGGAGGCGACTGTGTCTACGAAAGGCTCATGAAGGGCCTTGTAGAACCTCCCGTGGAGCTCTTTTTCCTTCCATACGGTCTCCCGGTTGGAAATGCTCTGTACTGCCGGGTCATGCCATTGTCCCGGACTTTTCCAGTTCGGAGCCCTATGGACCGCCCCAGCTAGGCCAACAAGGGCCTCGCTGTGGTTTACGGGCTCTGACCACAGGCCGCGCCAGAATGCGATAGTGTCGGCCTGATTCGGTGCTGGGCCCGTTCCATGTACCATTTGCCGCTCCAATAATCCATAGAGCCTCTTCTGATCACTCTGGAAGAGACGATTTTAGTTGAACCGTGTCGACCTCTCGGTATATCGCCGAATCCGCTTCCCCCAAGTAGCGATTTTCTGCTTCAGGTCGTCTATGCGCTCCGTCAGTTTTTGCGTTATATCCGGCTGAGACAAACAGATATTTGTTCCAGCAAACGCCATCCTGAAGGTGCGCACAATTCTCGGCCTATTATTGACCGACCTGAAGCTTATCAGTCTGCCGATGAAGACCCTTGCCTTTGCGATACGGTCCTCAATCCTTCTTCTCCAGGCTGGGATGGCGCTACTTTGTCTAGTAGCGCGTCTAGCCGTGAAAAGTTTGGCGCAAATAATACCGCAAACTGCCAGTGCGGCGCCAAAAATAATTGAGTCCGTCTCGCAAAGGTCCCGGCTGGCTTCCAAAAAGTTCACCAGTATTGGGTTAAAAACCCTCACAACAGCCCTTGCTTAGAGGTATGCGCGGGAGTCACGGTCGATTTTCGAGAGACGTAATGCGCGTTTCCACAATCGCTTCCTCCAATTTACTCCTCATCTGCTCTAGTTCTTGAGTGAACATTACATCATCGCCTAAATCAACCAGAGCGGGAAGATCCATGGCGCCCTCTATATGTGGCTGCTGGTCTGTGGCCTGAAGAGCCGCATCCTCAGCTATAGCCGGTTCATTCGACGAGGGAATAGCCTCCTGACGTAATCGTTCGAGTTCGGCATCATCAAATATTTTCGAGTGCCATTACTAGCTTGAAATATCCCACTACAGGGTAAAGGCCTCTCTACTCTCTTTCCACTTCTCTCTCTCCAGAGAAACCACAGACAAATCCTTCATGAAGGAGTCCGTTTCATATTAATATTCCTTTATATATATTTTATTTACAAGTGTAATTACTGTAATAAAATTATTAAAATGAAAAAACAAAGAGAAAAATAACACTTATGATTGACATAAAAGAGTCGTTGTAGCTCTGAAACTAGGCGGTTGCCGTAAATTTCACAGTACGTGAGCAACCTGAGTTCAACCCCATCGACACCATTGAAATAAGGGCATCAACGAATTTTTTACATTCACTTAGGAATGAGGTGAAGTATTTGACAGATCTCATGGCAAAAGCAATGTATAAATTAATGTTTGTTTCGTAAAATATTAGTTACATTTTGATTATTTAGATTACAAATTAATGAACCAACCTACGCATAGGAATATTCGTAGTTCGGTTCACTCATGGATGTAATGAAGTAGAAATTTTAAAAAAGAGTTAAGAATGCGCAAGTATTAAAAAATTATACCACTCAGACATGGATTTGTGTATTTACATAGTATAGAAACCGATAAAGTTATAATGACGCACTGCTACTTATAAAACGCAACTTCTCAATGATAATGATCTATTATAACAAATAACTTCATCTCAGGGCCAACAAGCGATATCTGGTGAGTGAAATATAAGTTGATTTAAAACGTGATTACCGGGTAGAAAAAAAACACTATAAATTATTTCAGGGACCTGTGAAATCTGTACACCTTCTGGAGCAGCACAATGAGGTAATTACTTTATTACCCTCTTAGAAAAATGAGGGAAAGCCTGCATGTATCAGTGGGACCTAACGCAGATAACTTTCATATTTTTTTTATTCACAAACTTTTTCATTAAAATTTGAGGAATTGATGAGTCAACTTTTGTGTAGTGATCACGTGATGCAAGATTTTTATGTATTTTTCAATAGTATAATGCTACCTGCTACACACACAAAAAAGTGCATCAAAATCGGTCCAGTTATTGATTTTATTTGTATAGATTAGCTCCAAATGTTCATTGGGGGGGCATGGACTGTAATGCACCCGTAACGTTGGGAATCACAAAGGTTAATTAATCTTGATAGAATCCGTAAAAATTCTATTATTCCAATTTGATGAAGTCATTACAGATACTTCTAATTCATAAATATTTTTATGTTTGAATACAAAGTTACAATACGTAGGTGATTATTTCGTTTACTATAAAAAAATTTAAAACGTAGTAGATAAATCTTGAAATTTAACGCCGCATTTAGTAAGTGTTGAATGCTACAAGAATCAAAGCTGCACAAAGAAAATGGGGGCAGTGCGCTAATGGGATTTTGTGAGAAGATTGCGCATTTAGTGTATTAAGCACGTTTTTATAGCCAGTAATGAGTTGCGTTTAATGAGAAATGTCATATACTCCATTATTTTTTATTTTGAAATATTTTTGTAATTCTCCTATAATATAAATAAGATGTTTACGTTACGTATCTATAATATACATACGTAACGTAAACATCCTTAGTTCTTATTCTTAATTTTTCCAAGTGCTTAAGACTGTAGTCCTTTAGCGTGGAAACTTCTAATAGAACACCTACATTGATATTTTCTAGCCACACAGACGCATATCGCAGTGTTAGTATACGCACCATGGACATTAATAAATTACTTTTGGTATTTTGCACAAGTTACATATTCATCACGCGTTCGTCTTCGTAGGATGTTCATGAATGTCTTAAAAAGCACGCATTGTATGTAGCCATTTGCCATTTCTTTTATGTCATTTGTTTGTCACATTGAGAAGTACGCGAGCCCGTAATTAATAGCTGACGGCAAAGGGTGGGGCCAGAGGTATTATTTTAATTATTACTTTTTATCTATGAACAAAATTAAAATATTATCAATGTTTTGTGTAATATAGAAAATGTTTGTTTCATAAAAATGATCTTTTATTAAAATAACCGGCCACGTGCGAGTTGGACTCGCGCACCGAGGGTTCCGAACAAATCCGTAGGTATATGAGTTTAAAATTATTAAAAATATTATTATTATATGATGTCACTAAAAATTTATGCTTTTCACAATTTTTTCTTTATCTGTGCTATAATACGTTGCTTCGTACCAAATTTTAAGTTTCTGAGTTCACGGGAAGTACCCTGTAGGTTTGGGTTCCCTTGCGAATGTCGAAAATTTGCGGCATAAACGGCTGTATCGTTTGATTACGTTGGCTTAGAAGTTTGATTTTTTCACAGCTCCAAGGGACAGAGATTTAGGAGTAGAAGTATTTGGTATAAGTTTCAGCTTGATACCTACACGCGTTCCTGAGAAAAAGGGTCTTGACAGACGGACAGACAGACAGACGGACAACAAAGTGATCCTATAAGGGTTCCGTTTTTTTTCCTTTTGAGTTACGGAACCCTAAAAATAAAGGTTAATAAAGAATTAAACAATCACAGTGGATTAAACAATTTATACAGTATGTAACAAACAATCCCTTGGTCGTTTCAGGGACGTATAGGTGTATTATGAATGGGATTTTAGCGTTTATAATCAAGTAAGTAACTAAATTTATACATACATACATAAACACTCACGCCTGTCACCCAGAGGGGTAGGCAGAGATTATGGACTTCCATTTGGCACGATCCTGACACACCTCTCTCGCTTCCTCCACATCCATATACCTACGCATACACGCTCGTCGGTTAAAGGTACTCTTGATTTGGCCCATTTTTAATATATCGCCAATTTGGTCGATATACTTTCGCCTAGGGCGACCCTTCCCGACTATGCCGTTCACCTCTGCAACATAAATTTGCTTTGTCACTCTTTATTATTTCTTTTGTCACTAAATTTATTATTTCTAAAAATGTTATTTACATCTGAACTAAACGACAAGTGCAAGACATACCTACGGCCACTGTGAAGTCTCTGACATGGCCGTAACATCATTTTTTTAACGCGAATATCTTTAAGCCTGCTCTCTAATAATAGAGAGCCTCGCAATATGGTCGTTTGTCATCATCACGGTGATCGGCGA